GCCGTGGAGTCGGTTCCGACTCATAGCGACCCTGTACAGGGTTTCCGAGGCTGTAAATCTTTACGGGAGCAGAACGCCTCATCTTTCTCCCGCGGAGCAGCTGGTAGTTTCAAACTGCTGACCTTGTGGTTCACAGCCTGATTCGTAACCACTACGCTACCAGAGCTGGTACTAAAAACTTTTGAAAAATTGAAACACAATGTCACTACAGATTTTTCTATTCTAGTCAAGATTTTGACTTAACAAGTCTTGTTTTAAAATACCTCTTTCCTAATTATGGGCAATAAATTTCTCTAGATGAATGCTAAAACCAATAGTTTAGACACTGGAATTAATGGCTTGGTACTTATAGGACCCAGAGTTAGTACTTGGTCCTAGAGTTAGGATAAAGAATAAAAATTAAGTATAGGGATAAACTTCCCTTAAAAAGCAATGTCTTTTGGAACCAAAGCACATTATTTACCGGAGAAAAGAAAATCTATCTTGGTCATTTACCCCCTGGCAGAAATAAAATGCAGGTAAATTTTTTTTTGTTTTTTGACTACTCAGTTTTTGTCAATATAATTAACTCAGGTAATCTTATAATAATTTGTCCATCTCATGAGGAAGCACTTATTACTCATTTACCTTTAGTTCTCAAATCAATAAACAGGTCTAAAGAGTGAAGAAAAATTAACAGTCCTCCTTCTACCAGTTGCGCTCAAATTAACTCTGTGAACAGGTGGACAAATGATCTGTATCCCTTGAAACACAGGGGGAGATGGTACATGGAGGGGATTATAATCATTGTAATGAAACAAGTTGTATGATTTGTTGAATGTAAAACTGATGATCTGCCCTGTTACCTTGTACTCAATTCACAACAAAAACATTAAAAAAAGAAAAAGAAGAAGAAACACAGGGGAATACAGATGAAGAAAACAGATCTGGGCAAGTGCAGCATACTAACACCCAATTAAAGTTTTACAATTTCTACTAGAAGAGTTTATAGGTAGAGGAAAGTGATGAAAGCCTGAAAAAATTTGAAATATGTTCAGGCCATTGCAATATTCTCCACTTATCAGAGGGATAAGTTATAGATCATCACACATCTTTCCATGTCAAGGACGTTTGACAGAATATTAGGAACTGGCAAGCACTGAAAGTTAAAGAATTAAAAAGGAAAATACTGCCACCCATTTGTTTGGCCAGTAACTCAGTAAAACTTCTGCTGAACTCATAGTTCTGAGTCTAACTAGGCCATGCTGGATTTCATTTCACAGGTGTTTCATTCATGTGCCAGCTGACAAGATACCCTAAATATACGTAACTAAGCACAACTGGCCAGTAGAAAAGAAGTATTTTAGTGGGTCATCAAAGCTAGCCTTTGCTGTTATCACTACAGGGAAAACAAATCAGAAGAATACTTGTCTTAGTCACGAAAAGGGAATATAGTACACAGGAAGCAATTTGGAATCATGCTAACAGTAGAAACTGTGTTTGAATAGTTCACATACCTGAGCAAAAATCAGAAAACTTGATGCAACCTTTACCATTCACTCTAAAAACTACCCTTTGCTTTCCCAGATAATCAAACTGCACAGTCCCACAGTCCCAGCCCCAGAGAAGACGTTACACTCACCAAATAGTGAAAGGACCCCACAGGCTGTCCAGATAACCAGAGACATGCCCACACTGCCTGTGTTCTGGAGCACGCCCTTAGGAGAGATGAAGATTCCTGCGCCAATGATGGTGCCAATGATGATGGAGATTCCCCTCAGTAAAGTGATTTTCTTCTTCAACACCACTTTTTCCTGTCTAGGTGGCTCTTGACTGCCCATGGCAGATAGCTTCCCATTAGCATTTCCCTGCAGGTAACCTCCATTGGAGATGGTGGACACAACAGGTTTTCTGACCATGGCAGTGGTACACAAGGGAAAAACAAAACAGGAAAAATACTTTCAACTTTAGTGTCTCTTAAAGTATTTTTTAAGATGTGACTGACCGATCTCTTCCTCTTTGCCTTCAGATTGCCTGTCTCAGTGCTATTATATTCCCAGGTGAAAACTCCAAGGTGTATTTTATCCGTCACAGCTATCTAATTACTACTCAGAAACACCTGTGTATCCATGGTGCGCTCGGTTCCAGCACCACCTCCTACTACCACTGCTGCTGTGGCTGCTGCTGCCCTATCATTAAAAACCAGCTCAGCTTCCTCATGGGCTTGTATTTAAGCTCCTGCCTGTCACACCAACTTACTCCAGTTAAATGATGATGCAAATTCTCCAGGTTTGCATCAGCCACATGAGAAAGCTCCAGCATTACTCAGCTTTTTTGTGTATGTGCTTTTTTTTTTTTTTTTCAGTCGCAGCATGTTGCACAACTGACCTAAGCTTCTCAGAGAACAAAGCGTGCACTTAAAAGAGATCTTAACCAATCCAGAAGGAGTAAATTCGAAACAGACCTTCCAAGATATTTAAAGCAACTCCTAGCCAGGAACAAAAGCTCTTTAAGAGAAAACAAAATTGAAAATGAAACAGGAAATAGACTATTTCAATTTAAGAAGTTTTTTTTTTTTTCTTCCCTTTTGTGTAAAAACATTTTATACACTACTCTTTCCATAGTAGAATATACCTCAAAGCTACATTGTTTATAATAATAAAATATTAAATCATAATTTGTATCCTATGTATTCTTTTTTTTTCTTCTTCTTCTTATTTTGGGGTTCTCAGCAGCACAGTTAAATCCATACTTACAAAGATAGAGTGAGTCTATGTATATAGTTACTGTTATATATAACAAACCTAAATGAAGCATTGCTCTTCATTAAAAGATAAAACTTTTTCTTACCATCCATGTTAAACCAGAATTGAAAATCATCATTTGAGTGTGACCAATTTAAAAATTACAGTGAATCCAGAAAGTCTTCTTCTGATTTTTATCACTACTAGGTGATTTCCTGAACTAAAAAAAAAAATCTGTGTTTCTCATTTCCATTTTGTAAGTTATCAGTAATTTTGTTGTTTTTTTTTTTAAATTGAGTGGTAATCACAATTATACAGAAACATGTATATAGTAAAAGCCTGAAAAGCAGTATATAGAATGATATTTGTAAAAGGTGGTAGTATTTATGACTTTTTTTCTAAATTGAATACACTATTGTAATATTTTGATTGGACTGTTGTTATTAGGTCTTCCAGACAGTTACAACTCATAGCGACCCTGTATACAGTTTCCAAGGAGCAACTTTTTGGGTTTGAACTGGCAACTTCACAGTTAGCAGTCCAGTGCTCATTAGACAGTGCCACATCAGGATAATTACTATCATTTGTTAATCCATTAAAACTGTAAGCTAACATTAAATTACTTACTTTGAAAGTGTAATTAAGGAAAACAAATTTTTATAGCATTATAACTTTCTCAATTAAGTATCCACAAAACAAATGCAAAAGTAAAGAAATCCTATATGTCACTTTTGGCTATGGGTATATGTGGTTTTAGCTTTAGTTATCATTACCCTCAAGCTACATTTACACATACCATTAAATATGCTTCTGAGTCTCTGAACAGTGGGAAGTAGCTGGAAGATCAGAACATTTTCAATATGCTAGCCTCTGAGAAAATCTCACATCACAGCTCCACCATCCAATTAATTGAGGTTACTTTTTTTTTTTTTTTCATTTGCAATGAATAAGTCATTGGTCTTGCAAAATTCTGTCACAAGATCTCCAGCATCATTTTTATCATCAGGGGCACATTTTCCAACTACTGATTCTTCCTCTTTGTTTCTAACCTTTGCATTCCTATCACCAGTAATTATCAATGTATCTTGGTGGTATGTTTGATAAAATTTCAGACCAAAGAAGTTAGTAGAATTCTTCAATTCCATCATCATATGGTATGTCTTGAAATGGTTGAACACTGACCAGCTCTTTTGGTACAGTGACTTTGTGTATTCCTTCCATCTTCTTTTTGATGCTTTCTGTATCATTCATTTTGCCCATGGAGTCCTTCATCACAGCTCCTAATTGAAAATATACGGCAATAAAACCATAAAATTAAGATGTTTTCAGCTATCAAAGGAATTATATCCGGAATAAATAACGAACTCCTACAAATCAATTCAAGAAAGAAAGGTTAATTCAATCAAAAAATAAGCAAGAGACTTGAATAGACATTCTATGAAATGGCCAATAATTATATGCAGAGTTGCTCTACAGAATTAGTTACTGGAGCAATGAAAGTTAAAAACACATGAGACATCAATTTCCACTTAGAGTGGTTCATAAGAGAAAAATGGGCAATACCAGGAGTGGTAAGAATATGGACTATATTAGTGTACTGTTAGTGATAGCTGGAGTCCTGGTGTGGTGCTGTGGGCTAATGGGTCAGACTGCAAAGTCATTTGAACTGCAAGGTTGGTGGCTCAAGCTCACCAGTTGCTCCTTGGAAATCCTATACAGGGTCTCTATGGGTTGGAATCAACTCGATGGCACTTCACAACAACATTAATAATAGCTGTTTTGTCATATTTACTGGACCTTAATGACACACACCTTTTGACCAAGAAATCCTGCTCCTAAGAATTGTTCCCGTCTTTAGTGAAAATAGTTATTGTTGTTAAATGCTGTTGAGTCATTCGAACTCAAAGCAACCTTGTATTGAGTTTCTGAGAAGCAACTGGTGGGTTTGAACTATCAACCTTTCAGTTAATAGTCCAGTGCTTTATCTTATAGTGCCACACGGGGATTCTGCTCCTAAAAATATGCTCAATAAAAATGCAGACCATTTTCACTCAATCCACAATTCCACAATAAAAACCTTAAAAAAAAAAAAAAAATGCAGACCATTTATGTGCCAAAACATAAGAAACTTCAATCATTTTAAATTGTAATCAGGTAAGAGGGAATAAAAGGTAAATAAAAATGCATAAAATTAGGTAATAAAATATATTAATAATGTCCATAAATTTAAGTCTATTGAAATCCCCATTTTAAAGACTAAGACTTAGATTGAACAATAAAAAAAAATCAATATCCAGTTAGGTTCTATTCACACTGCATACATGAATTTTAAAACATAATGACAAAGAAAGGTAGGAAATAAACCATAGGAAAAGATATTCTAAGTATATTACTCAGACTGTTATGTGTAAAACAGCTTTATTTACCTAAGAACATTGCTACAAATAACTCAAACAAATATGATAGAATTAAAAGGAAAACATAATGCACAAATTTTGATGGAGAGTGTAACACATTTCTCTGAACATTTGTCAGTTTAATATTAAAAAACAACAATTTATTAATTATATCTGGTTATTGATCTTATAGCCAAATGTTTTCCTATCCCTTTCCCTGCTTCTGAGTAGCCATTCCCCAGTTTATTTTGCTTGTAAATGCAAACCTACTTATGGTTCCTAAGAGGACAGACCTTGAACTACTGGAGCCCATTTCCCCATGGTTGCAAAGAATAGGAAGTGCCTGGGGTTCCTGGGTGGCACAAACAACTACTACTAGCTGAAAAGTTGATGTTTCCAACCTACCCAGAGGCACCTTGAAAAGCAGAACTGTTAACCTGTGACCAAAAGCTCTTAAAAACCCTATGGAACAGTTCTACTCTGCATACGTGAGGTCATCAAGAGTTACAATGAACTCAGCAGCAGCCACTTTGTTTTTTTGCTTAAGGTATGTTAGTCAATGACTCACAGATCTGGGAGTAATAAACTCTATCATCTTTGTCTTGCCTTCAGACAAACTCTAAAGTATAATTTACCTTCCAGAGAAATACCTCTAAATCAAGCTGGGGCTTTGCCTCAAATTACAGTTTTGCTTGTGTTCTCTTGTCAGCATTTCCTTATGAAACTAATTGTATATGAATCCTCATCTTACAGTTTTTTTCTAATGAACCTAAACTAAACTAGATGATATTGAAAATAGACTCTAAGAAAGGGTTCTATACTATGGCTTACTCATCTACTAAAGGTACAAAGGATATATCACTAGCATTACATAATGGTTTCGAATTGGGCTGCTAACCTCAAGGTTGGCAGTTTGAAACTACCAGCTGTTCTGCACAAGAAAGATGAGGCTTTCTGCTCCCGTAACGATTTGCAACCTCAGAAACCCTCTGCAGGGTCACTATGAGTTGGAACTGACTCCACAGTACTTAACAACAACACTGAAGTAAATATGATTGTCCATGGCAAGTTGTTGCATTGCAATTATGAAGACTTTTACCTGGGATGAATTAGGATATGTCACAGTGAAAGAACGATGCACTGGCTTGAGTAGTCTCTATGGCTTTTGGAGACATTTGAGATATTCTATTTAATGTCAAGAATAAAACAAAGACAATTATTATCACCATTGTGACTTAACACTATATATGAGGAATTATTCAAAAGATCCCTGGTAGCACTGTAGGATAAGCATTGGACTGCTAACTGTAAGGTAGGCAGTTTAAACATATTAGATGCTTTGTGGGAGAAAATTAAGCTTTCTGCTCCCATAAAGATTGTTGTTGTTAAGTGCCATCTAATAGGTTCTGACTCAGAACCCCATATAAGGTTTCCGAGGAGTGGCTGGTGAGGCTTCAACCACCGACATTGCAGTTCAAACAGACCTTGCAGTCCAGCGCATTAACCCACAGTGCCACACCAGGATTCCCCATAAAGATTTGTTGTTGTTGTATGTGCCATGGAGTCAATTCCGACTCATAGTGACCCTGTACAGGGTTTCCGAGGCTGTAAATGTTCATGAGAGCAGAAAGTCTGATCTTTCTCCCACGGAACAACTGGTAGTTTCGAACTACTGACCTTGTGGTTTGCAGTCCGATTCATAACCACTATGCTACCAGAGCTCCTTACGATCACAGCCTCTGATATTCTAAATAGGATCAGTATGAGCTGCAATTGATTTGATGGCAATTCCTTTTTGGATATTCAGTGTAATCAGAGAAGAAAAAGTAATTATGCATTAATAAATTGAAAAAAAAATGAGCCAAAACCTCTCCTTAATTTATTATTAATTTCATAATTAATGAAGGTAGTGGTGGTGGTGGTTATGTGCCGTGGAGTTAGTTCCCGCTCATAGCAACCCTGTATAGGGTTTCTGAGGCTGTAAATCTTTACAGGAGCAGAAAGCCTCATCTTTCAATGCTGACCTTGAAATTAGCAGCCTGACTTGCAATCACTCAAGAACAG